TACCTCTGCCGATGAAATATCATCGGTAGAGGTCTAATCCGGCAAATATTTGTCGAGATATACCTATGCCGACGAACTTTTGTCGGCAGAGGTTTTTAGATAAATTTATTTTTAAAATTTTCTTTTTAGTAATTATATAATATCTTAGCCTTATTTAATTACTTTCATTAGTAATTATATTTTAATTTTTATTTCTTAAGTGAATAATTAATATTATATATTTTAATTAAGTTCATAAATTATAGTGCCTAATAAATAGAAATTAATAATATCTTAGCTTTGTTTAATTACTTTTATTAGTAATTATGGGTTAATTACTTTCATTAGTATTTAAATATTTTAATTAGTTTTATAAATTACTTAATAAATAGTCATTAATTATTTTTGAATTATTTTGTACACATGACCATTTAGTTTTAATTTCCACATTTGTTTTTAAAATTTTGTTTTTGATTATTTAAAAATCCTAGAAAAATAGTTTAATTACCCAAAAATATTTTATAAAGTATTTTAATATTCTGTAAATGGATTTTATCCTCAAAACCGTAAATCCAAGTCACAACGTGATTCGATAATACTAACTACTTGTTGGAGTTTGAATGAAATACATGAACTTAAGTCCTGCATTAGAAAAGAAGAAAATGTCTCTGCTCCTTATAAGTGGGAGTCTCTTCCCACACGTGCTATATAGAAGGTAGGCCTAGTGGAGTCGAACTTCGGCCTCACCTTTTAATTGAGCTTGGATTTTATATACATAATAATTAAGACAAATTAAACTAAAGAAGTTGGCAAAAGAAAAAACTAATTATATATATTTTAAAACCTTTTCCAATGAAATTTCATTGGCATATGTCTATGCCGGTAAATTATTATTGGGAGAGGTCTAATCCAGCAAATGTTTGTTGGTATAGGTCTATGCCGACAAAATGTCATTAGGTCTATGTCGACAAAATGTCGACAAAAAAAGTGTTATGTGTGGCTATGAGGTAGTAGGCTAAAGATAAAAGAGTTTGTAGCAATTTTCAGTGCATATTTACGCTTTGTATTTAATTTTTTATGAATTGTTTAAAATAAAGCAATAAATAGTAAGAAAATGACACGTGTCGCCATATTATAGGCCTCTTGTCAAAAACACTGACGGAGTATGTTTAAGAGGCTGACATGTGTCAATCCATTCTATTTCATATTATTTCTTTAAGATTTAACTTTTATAATTCATAATCAATAAATTAAAAATAAATAAATACAATGAAAATTCCTAGGAACTCCTTGTGACATTCTCTTGGCCTTAAAGCTCGAAAAATCTAATTTTGAATGATAAAGTACAAATAAATAACAAAAACTCAATTTTGTTCATAGAAAAATCTGATGGAAATGAGAAGACCCTAAAAAATAGTCAAACAATTCCGACGGAATGAGAAGCTCCTCAGAAATAGTCAAATAATTCTGAGGGAAATGAGAAGCTCCTTGGAAATAGACAAACAATTCCAACGGAATGAGAAGCACCTTGGAAATAATCATCATATTTCCGACAAAAATGTTTTTTGTCGTTAATAAAGTTGGCACCAAGTTTTCTAGCCAAATAAATTACATATCCGACGATATGAAGGACTTTTTCCTAGGGTAGTTCCTTTGTCTAAAATAAATTTAAGCCCCGTAACATATTTCCAATGGATGACATTTTTGGATCGGAAAAAACACTTTTACAGAGGGAATTTCGAGGCCCTCGGAAAATATTAGTCGGTAATGACACGTTTTTTTGTAGTGTTTCTTTATGGATTAAAAATAAAAAGAGAAAAAAGAATCACACCTGTTTCATCTTCAATTTTTCTTTTTAGAGCACCAAGAGTGCCAAGCAAGGGACGAAGTGCATCATTACTGTACTTCAATGTAGCTGCACCAGCAATCTTAAATCTTGAAGCTCAACACACACACGCACATATATATATTATTGCCTAAGGGATGTCACTGGTTAAAAACAAAAGACAAAAGAACTTAGTTGAAAACTCAACCTAATCGAGGAGAAATTCTATCATCTTGAGTGCGTGGCAAGCTGATCTCTCTCTCCATGTGGTTAAGTATTTGAATGCGACCTTTGCGTCCCGGCTCTAAGCTTTCACAAATAATATCTAAAAGAATTCGCGCAGGTTTTTTATATCCAACTGAATTGCTGTAATTCCTCTTTGCGTGCCAGCAATTTTAAACTCCATGTCCCCCAAATGATCTTCCAGACCCTCAAAAAATTAAATAAACTTTTAAGTTGACTATAATATAAATAAAACATAGATATATTGGTATAATTCGTAAAATCTGGAATCAGAAACCCACAAGTAGTAGTTATAAAGCTTCGGCTATAAATTCTAAAATATTCAATTTCAAACACAATGAAGAAATAAACCAAAGAAAAAAAAATGAGACATGCATAACTGAGAAAGAAAATGAAAAAGTGAAGGTCTGCATATGGAATTTAAAGGCGAATTCAGTTTGAGAAATAACGGAAATCATTGACTATTTTCATAAGGCCACCATGCAACACGTAAAACTCAACATAAAGCCAAGTCAAAATTGTTGGTGTGTAATCCTTCAGCCGAAGTCTTGGAGCTACAGGAATTGCATTTTATCTTTCTTTTTAAGTTGTTTATTTCTCAGCTTTATTTGTACACCCACTTATGGTCATTCTCCATTGTTTCTTTTCATGCCTTTTTAAATAATTTTAACCTTTTTTTTTTGGTTCTGAATCAGTTAGAAAGTATGAAAACATAAGTCAGAAGCTATTACTCTTTATGATCTATGAATAAATTATCAAATTTGAGTCATAAGATTGATTCATGATCCATAAAAGAAAATTTCAAATCCTGATTTGTTTATATTGCTAGGATAATCAATGACTGTGCCAATTGAACGGAGATATCCATATTTCCTCTATATACCTATCCAAAACAATCCTCTTTATTTTATTTGTATATTTTGTGTATGTCATATTTTTAGGGACTTGATTTCTGTACGTGATGAAAACATGATCTTATACGTGTGAAATCTTAAGTTTCATCTTTGCATCAAATGTTTGTTGGGAATTTTACATTATATATTGATACCTCTGCTACTATGACTTGTCAAACTGGGGAATGTTGTGTTTGTCCACCTCAGCTGCCATATAAGGTGGTATGGAATGTGGTAAGAGTGGCATTACTCTAATTATTATCCAAATAAAAGCAAGTTAATTAAGTTATGTTATAGTTAACCACTACTGTTATAGTTTAATAAAGTCACGATCAATACGAAATCTTGAGAAAATATCCTATCGGGTATACAATTCTAGTTTTATTAGGTATAGGATACCAGATACAAAATTAATTAGGAATTCCTTTCTTACCTCTGTGTGTGATATATATATATATACTAGAAGTTGTTAATTTATTCCAAGGAGCCTTCTTCCCTTTTACATTTGAAGAATAGCGACCGGTAGGCTTCTTTTCTTCTTATTTATTTTTTGGCAGCTTTAATGTTTATGTATGTTGTCGTTTCAAACTTTATAACTAATTCTATTAATCAAACTAGCTCGCTCCTACATATGCATGCAGGAAAACATGCCGCTTAGAAAATTAATTCGAAAAGTTTCTAAGAACACAAGGTTGAAATGGACACAAGTTGGTTTTGCAATTTTTCAGCCCACATTCACATACTACCGCCTGTTGAGAAAGTTGTTGCTTTCCCTCCCTCAAGATTTTAGTCGCCACAAGATCACAATGGCGATGATGAGGATAAGAAGAACAATTCAAGCAGTGATCAGTACCACTACTACAAGCAGGTGGTCTGATGAACTCCCAGAAGAAATCATGCAATTGATTCTGCAACGGCTATGCCTCCCAGACTATCTCCGCTGTGGCGCAGTATGCCGTTCTTGGGGAGCCGCCCTAGCCGTTAAGCGTTGCCCTCCTGCCCCTCAACTTCAGCTTCCCTGGCTCATGCTCCGTTCACACCCGTTCTCTCTCAAAGATCATTACTTCTTGAGTCTAAGTGACAACAAAACTCACAAGTCGTCGTCGTTTGGCTCTAACGATTATATAAGCAGGCGAGATTGTGTTGGTTCCATCGAGGGGTGGTTGATTATGGTTGATAGTGAATTTTGGCGTCCCGAGGGTTTTTTGTATCCTTGGTCATTCTGCTTGCACGCCTTGCAAGGGTATCATCTCAATTACCCTTATACTACCCTCAACTTCTTCTTGAACCCGATTTCGGGTGTTCGGGTCATGCTGCCATCACAATCCACCATTCCACACATGTACGGCAGCAGACCTTTCTTTTTAAGGAAAGTGGTAGCCTCTTCAGTGCCATTGCTAACGACGTCGTCATGGTCTGATCATCATCATCGTCATCATATAATAAACTCATCATGTCTTGTGGCTGGCCTTTGTTGGGGAGGCCTTTATTTGGCCTTTTGTAGACCAACAGATAAATCATGGACCCTCATTTAGCCAGTGCTAGAGGGTAGACACTTCATTTCTCTGGATATAGAAATAATTGATGGGAAATTATATGCTGCAAATCGGAAAGCAGCAGAGTTTTTGATTGTGTACGATCTCCAAATGTTACATGCTGAAGGCCATGCCAATGCCGGGCCTCCTGGTAATATGTACAGTGGGCCGCCTCAAAAGTTGGTTATGCTTCATCCAAGGCCAGTTCGTTCCCTGTCCTCTTACACTATGGGTGACGTCAGGTATTTTACCGAAAGGGAAGGCCCTCGCTTAGCAAAAGATCCTACAACAAAGGACTTGTTTATGGTTTTCCATAACACTAGTCATGCTTTTAAAAAGGATCCAATACTTCCCCTGTCCCTCCTCTTAGATCACGATTATGTCATTCCCCCTCGAACTAAAGGATTTCGAGTGTTCAAGCTTGAACTTAACAGCAATGGTCCTCAGTGGGTAGAAGTTGAAGACCTCGGCGATAGGATATTGTTCCTGAGCAAGGCAAGCAACAAGATCATCTCTGCTACAAGCCTCAATCTCAGTTATGGAGATTACAAGAAGAGAGTTGAAGGAAATTGCATTTGTTTTGCTTTCGATAATCCTTGTTTAGCATCACCGTGGACGGGACGCAACTTTGGGGTGTTTTCCTTGACAAACAAGAGCATCCAGCGTTTTATTGTTCCCAATGATCACCCTCGTACTAGCCTATACAATACTCAAACTGTTTGGTTCACACCATATATTGAGTAGCTAGTTTTTATTTTTTTTATTCAGTAATGGTATCTCTTGGTATATTTTCTTTTTTGAGATTTAGGGTTGGTATGCGTGATTTAGATATTACAGTTTCGAAACAATATTGTAGTATGTTTTGGATTGACTCCCTAAGTACTGCTTGTGTGTTTAGCGGAAGACAGACACAAGGAGACCGGTAGGTTTCTTCTCTTCTTTTTATTTATTATTTTTTTGGTTTAGACAGACATATGCAGCTTTATGTTGTTTGAAAGAAATTGTTCTTCGCTACCATGTAATCTAATATGTGAACATGCTATAATCTTAAAAATTAGGTATGGGTATTCTGATTAACTTGTTGGGTGTATTGTAAATAAAATTTCCCAAAAACCTTTGGGCCAAGCCCGGTTCAAGGCCCAATGAATGGATTTGGGCCCATCATCAATTTTTGTCTGAAGTTCACAGACCTTGGTGGAGGGCAACTCAAGCCTTCGTCCCCGTATAGAGTTTATGCCTACAAGCGGTCACTCAAACTCGCGCCATACCAGTCACTCTATCTCTTCTAAGCTTCAGAAGCCATGAAAGCACCAAGCTTATGCTAACCTAATCAGGACCACAATGCTTAGATAACTTCCCCAATTGCCTGAAATCACACCCCCAACCCTAGAAAAATGAGATATTTACGGTTCATTTCCCCACATTTTTCTTGTATTCCCAAAACCCTAAACCCCCCAAAGCCCTCCTCTATCCTCTCTCCAATCAAAGCCCCAGATTAGTTCTCATTTTGTGTGCAATTACACCACCGCTACACCGGAGCAACGGCCACCTCCGTCCGAGACGATATCGGCGATCGCGGATGAGATATCGGGCCTGACTTTGCTCGAAGTCTCAGACCTCACGGAGGATCTGAGGGAGAAATTGGGCATAAAGGAGATGTCGGCGATGATGATGCCGAGGATGGGATTTGGCAGCTTGAAAGGCGCGGACAAAGGTGGTTCGGCGGCAGCTAAAGGCGAGGAGAAGGTGGAGAAGACGGCTTTTGATGTAAAGCTCGATTCTTTTGATGCTGCAGCAAAGATCAAAGTGATTAAGGAGGTGAGGACGTTTACAAGTTTGGGGATGAAGGAGGCCAAGGACTTGGTGGAGAAGGCGCCTACGCTATTGAAGAAGGGGGTTACGAAGGAGGAGGCAGATTCGATTGTCGTGAAGATGAAGGAAGTTGGTGCCAAAGTTACTATGGAGTGAGGTAATTTGGGCAATTTTTTGCTTATACGTTTGTGAATTTGAATTTTGATTGTGTGGTGTGGGTTGTAGTGTGTGTAGCTTAGTGAATGAGTCTGGCAACAGGAGCTAGCTCTAATTGTTTTTTGGGGTTTGTTAACTCAGAAAGTTTTCTAGTAATCTGGTTTAGAAATCCCTGTTTTGGTCAATATGATTAATAAAGATGTTGGGAATGGGGCACAAAGCACATTAATGAAAACTCCGAGCTAGTCTTAGGCATTTTGTTACTCATATGTAAAGGTCACTGAAACTTCCGAGCTCCTATATAGGCACTATGAGTTTAGAGTCATGTCTTGTTGCCCTGCATGCCCAAGAAGCCATTGCAGCACAACAAGGCATGCCTATACTACTACAGGAACTAGGACTAGGTTGGTTCTGTGGAAACTTTGTGCCTTCTCATCACTTCATTCCATTTCAAGAACCTTGTTCTCCACATGTCCACCGTTCGGCAGGTGACCATAGGGGAATTTTGAGCATGTCTCAAACTGCGGTAAGAGGCTGGGCCTCTTGGGTGTTTGGCACAATTTGGAGCTGGGCTCTGGAAGAAAGAGAAGGAACCTTCAGCAGGGCTTGAGTGTGTCTGGGCTAGGCACGTGTCGCAAAGTGAAAATAAGGGGCCATGTCGGCTTGGGTTGAGCCTTTGGGCTGCGCTCGATCCTTGTCGTGTTGGTAAGGATCTGATGTAGTCTAGAGACGTGGAGTGATGGGCTTCATAAGCTAGTCTGAAAGCTCTCAGTTTGTTATGCAAGGATACCGAAGGGCATGAAGATGAAGGGATGTCGAATGCGACACAAAGCTTGCATGTTGCAAGGCAATGTGCTTAGGCAAGGGGGTGCCGAGTGTGCGCTTAGGCAAAAGGGTGCCGAAGGTGAAGGGATGCTAAAGGCAACACAAAGCTTGTATGTCGCAAGGCAATGTGCTTAGGCACGGGGGTGCCGAAGGTAAAAGGATGCCGAAGGCGACACAAAGCTTGCATGTCGCAAGGCGATGTGGCTAAGGACGAGGGTGTCGAAGGTGTAAAGCTTGCGTGTCGCAAAGTGATGTGGCTAGGCACGAGGCTGCCGAATGCAAAGGGATGCCAAATATACAAAGCTTGTATGTCGCAAGACAATGTGTTTAGGCAATGGGTGCCGAAGGCATAGGAGATGCCGAAGGCGACACAAAGCTTGCATGTCGCAGGGCGATGTGGCTAGGCACGAGGGTGCCGAATGTGTAAAGCTTGCGTATCGCAAGACAATGTGGCTAGGGACGAGGCTGCCAAAGGCAAAGGGATGCCAAATACACAAAGCTTGCATGTCGCAAGACAATGTGTTTAGGCACGGGGTGCCGAAAGCGACACAAAGCTTGCATGTCGCAGGGCGATGTGGCTAGGACGAGGGTGCCGAAGGTGTAAAGCTTGCGTGTCGCAAGAAAAGGTATGTCGAAGGGAGCCAAGGGGGTCTAGGCTAGGCAAGTGTTGTGCCTTGTGGCATGAGCCTTCTGGGTAGGTCTTGGCTTGACCTTTTACAGGTTTGTGGAGCTGGGCTTCAAGAGGCAACATGCTGGAGCTGAGCCTTGAAGCTTCGGCAGGGGGAGGAAAGGGATATGTGAGCCCCTTCGTGTTTCAGCACAGGCCTTGCTGTTCGGCAAGGCTGATGTGATGTTTGAGTTTGACTCATGACTGCTTCGGCACAGACAGTGCTGAATGGTTATGGATGATGGTCGGAGGGGTGCCGAAGGTCACTAAAGAAAGGGAGAACGATAGAAGCCTTTTGTATCGTTTCCCACATACGGCGCCGAACTGTTGATGCTCAAAATAGTTCAGCCAAAATTAAGTCCAACTTAGTGATGAGATGTGATGGATGATGGGTGAAGGTGAAGACCTTCAGCATGTGTGTGAAGATTTGGGCAAACGATAAGTATACAGAAAACGAGATATACGTAGTTCACCCTTAAGAAAAAGAAAAAGAAAAGGAAACAAAAAAACCCTAGCCAACTTGAAAACTGGTTCTCCCCTCCTCCCCTCCTTCGTTCCTCTCCTCTTCTACAGTCACCGTCTCCTCTCGCCTTCTTCATCGGCTATCCTCATACACCATCAATTGGCACTCCACTGTCCCTCCTTTGGTTATTGGTGAGTATATATGATTTTTTTTTTTCTATCAATTTTTTAAAAAAATTGGGATGCTATATTTTCATGTTCGTTCTCCTCCATTGATGACTTATGGTCATTCTCCATTGTTTCTTTTCATGCCTTTTTAAATAATTTTAACCTTTGTTTTTTGTTCTGAATCAGTTAGAAAGTATGAAAACATAAGTCAGAAGCTATTACTCTTTATGATCTATGGATAAATTATCAAATTTGAGTCATAAGATTGATTCATGATCCCCCAAAGCCCTCCTCTATCCTCTCTCCAATCAAAGACCTAGATTAGTTCTCATTTCGTGTGCAATTACATCACCGCTACACCGGAGCAATGGCCACCTCCGTCTGAGACGGTATCGGCGATCGCGGATGAGATATCGGGCCTGACTTTGCTCGAAGTCTCAGACCTCACGGAGGTTCTGAGGGAGAAATTGGGCATAAAGGAGATGCCGGTGATGGCGATGATGATGCCGGGGATGGGATTTGGCGGCTTGAAAGGCGCGGACAAAGGTGGTTCGGCGGCGGCTAAAGGCGAGGAGAAGGTGGAGAAGACGGCTTTTGATGTAAAGCTCGATTCTTTTGATGCTGCAGCAAAGATCAAAGTGATTAAGGAGGTGAGGACGTTTACAAGTTTGGGGATGAAGGAGGCCAAGGACTTGGTGGAGAAGGCGCCTACGCCATTGAAGAAGGGGGTTACGAAGGAGGAGACGGATTCGATTGTCGCGAAGAAGGCATGCCTCAACTACCACAACAAGGCATGCCTCAACTACCACAACAACTAGAACTAGGATCTTTCCATGGAATTGGAACCTATATGCCTCGTGATTTCCCACCAATCCCGAGCCTCCAACGCTCAATTCAATTTCAAGAACACGCAACTCCATGAGCCCAACAATCCCAACAAGCCATTGCAACACAAGAACAGCCAAAACTAGAATTAGGTTCATGCCATGGATTTTGCAAGTATGTCCCTCCTGATCTCCCACCAGTCCCAAGCATCCAACACTTGATTCAAATACGTAGCAAGCCTTTTGAGAGACACTTGACAAAATCTGATGCGATGTTCTCATTAGAGGTGAAGAAATGTGACGCAGAAGAACACGTCTTCCCATTGATGAATGGTAATGAATATCCTACACAAGGCATTTGGGTCACAACGTATGACATTGCTGGCAATGAGCACAATATGTTGTTCAAGACCGCAAAAATTTGCAAAAATCATAAGCTTTATTTGCGATATTTTGTTCGACACCATGTCCTAAAGTTCAAAGATGTTGTTACCATGTGGGCGTTCAGGAATGCCCAAATTGAAAAGGTTTGTTTAGTGATCACTTCGAGAAGGTTGCCAGAGTGCAGACATTGTTCAAAAGCAGGACAAAGTTGAGCTCATTGTAGCATGAAAAGGTCTACAAAGTCGATGACATTTCTCTAGGTTGGATCAGGTTATAATTTGCGATGTATACATGGATCAAGGTCAAGTTGTAAAAATGTTCTTGGCAGCATATCTTTGGTTTGGAGAAACATGCAAAGTAAATATTGTTGAAACCAATTGTGTCCCACATCGGAGAGAGGGAAGGAGAAAGAGTACTTTAAATAGAATTACCTCACTCTAACTAACACCGAGGCCTTTTGTGATAAAACCCCACACCTGAGGATTGTGCAGGTGGTAAAGTGGGGACAGTATCGGTGTTGTTGGAGTGGGCCCTCGGCCCGTTAACCTGGAAAATTTGACACATATCATAAACTTCAACTCTGTGAACCTATTATCAAAATGCTAGGTCTACAACCGTTGGTTTGTAAAATTAATGAAGTAACTGAAAGGATTGATTGTTATAAAAAAAAAAAAAAACAAAGCTTCAGCAAATACATTATTCTAACTCAAAGAAAGATAAGCAAAGCAGTTCTACTAAAGATTGCTTTGCATCATGAAGATCTCCAGTAGTCTTCAATGAGACCATGTCAATTGCACATCCAGTAAGATGAACCACTATTTTGCTACTCTACATTTTTTTAACAATCTTGCCACCTGAACGTTGAACTTCTACATCCTTCTCTCCCCCTGGAAAGTCACCAAAAACTATAAACCATCAAATATTCAAGTTGCATAACTGCATTGAACAAGAAAGAAAATGTGGTAACGGTGCAATGCTAATGAGTGCTATCAAAGGTGATTGCCAGAAAACATTGACAATGATGAGGCTACTTAGGTGATACTCAAGGTTAACTGCAAAATTGATGCATAATCTCATCATTTGGCCCGCGGGCTCATGGGCCTACGGGGGCCCGACCGGCCCATCGAAAAAAAGCCCGGCCTGGCCCGTTATGGGGTTTGAGAGGGCACGGCCCGCTTGGGCTTGGGCTAGGCTTGGGCTTGGGTGTTTGAAGCCCAGCCCGACCCATTGGCCCGGCTCGATTAAGCCCATGAAAGCCCGGCCTGGCCCGCCCACAAAAGCCCCGCCCGTTAGGCCCGCATACATATATAATTATGTATAAATAAGGGTTTAGGATTAGGATTACTTCACTTGAATGACAAATCCCCCTCTTTCATTATTTTGTGTGTGTGTTACTTGTTTAAAAAATTGTGTTTCTATTGAATTCTACTCATTCCTAGTTTATAATTGTATGATTAGCACATTAATTTGTGTCATTTATTAATACAACAATTATATATATATATATATAATAAGACGAACAACATATTGTATCACCAAACATAATCATACCACCAAATATAATCATACTTTTCTTTAACACATCACCAAACATTTGCATATTTATTCATACTATCCTTATAAATAAATAAATAAAAAATTGCACTTATTATTTTTTAGAGGAGTTGAAATAATCTAGAGGCCAATTTTTCTAGAGGAGTTGAAATAATCTGTGGCATTTTCAAGTGTTTCATACTTGAACTTCAAGCTAGAGTACTTGTTGATGCTTATTGAAGCCAACCATGCACCACTGCGCTCTGGATAAAGAATGTGAGAGAATATATGTTAAAATATTGTAGAAACAATGACAATTTTTCACAAGTAACCCATAGAAATATATAAATGTATTATGTATATACCTTGTTTAATCTGTACCAATTTTGCATAGCCTGCATAAGCAGCAAAGAGAGACAGCAATATGAAGGCAGCTGCTGCCAAAACCACTGCTATGATGATTCCTCTACTTACTGACAACCCTGAAAAAGAAAATATGCAAATCAGATTTTGAGTTATAAAATATATTTTAAAAAAAGACAGCTTTGGTAATAAAATAACACTTTCAATTCACAAAGTCAAACTTTTTATATTCTGTTTGGTCACCCAGAAAAGCGAAAATAGAGAAACTGAGGTTCGATTTCACAAATTTGAGTTTGTGGAAAAACAACAGAGGTTATGGGATTCCTCTGCAACCAGACAGAGTCCCTCTGAAGCAAGAATATGATCCAAACTATGCTAAAAAATATTAATTTAGTTCATAAACCCCTGAAAATAAAAACATTTAAAAAGGGCAAAAAGAAGAAGAAAAAGGGTTATATTATATTACCACGACCATGATCTGCCATATGCTCTGCTTGTTCCTCATCATTATAGAATTTCTCAGTTGAATATCTCAAATAACACCCTGCATTCAAAGCCCTCCCTTCCTTCTTTGGTGCACATCCCCTCACTGCCTCACCTCCCTTCTCCAAGCAAGCTCTGCACCCATCACGCCCTACAGTTTTCCAACACTGAGCCAGAGCATAAACCGACCATTGTCAACAGCAGCTTTAGTAACATTACGAATGGCAAACCCGACATTCTTCACAAACTCCATTCGATCTTCATTTTCAAGCTCGTGTTTTGATGACGAGCTGCAGATCACGGCGTCACGAGAAGGGTCTGTGGGTTGTTGGTAGAAGCTGTAGTTATCATAACGGAGGTAGCAACCGTCGAGAAAAATGGTAGCGGAAAGAGAGGGGAGGCAGCGAGGGATCTTAGTGCCACTAGCGGCGTAGCAGAGGAGGCAGTCAGTGTGAGAGAGGTCTTGGAAGCATTGGGCTAAGCCGTACATGGGCGGCGTGGAATTAACAAAGTGGGTGCCCCAATGGTGGGTGGTGATAAGCTGGGAAAGGCTTTCCATTTCTTTGACAAAAGCGGGGATGATGCTGGTGTTTGGTGGAGGTTTGAGAGTGCCACAGGAGAGTGCTACTTGGTTGGTTCTTGGATCTGAGAGAGAAATGTTAACGTATTAAGAACTCTTTACTGATGGACTTTGAAAGTGGGAGAATTGTATTTATTGAATAGCAAACAATGGTTATTATATAACCTTACAAGCAAGATAAACCAAACAGCAACCCACGTTGTAACAGACCTAAACGTGGTAAAAGACTAAGTCATATAACAAAAGAATCCCTCAACAATCGGGATTGTTAAGCAAGTAGCAACAACCTGCTTATCTTATCCTAGAAAATAGAACAACTTAAACAACGGCTAGTTCGTTCAACATCCTCCCTTAAACTGAATCTTCAAGATCAGTTTACTACAGAATCACTGCATACTCCAAGCAAACCACGCAGCTTTATGAAGCCTTCACCCTTCAATGGCTTAGTCAAGATATCAGATGCTTGTTCTTGACTTTGACAGTAACTAAGCTCCACAATCTTATCCCTTGCTAAGTCACGGAGAAAATGAAATCGAACATCTATGTGCTTGCTTCTCCCATGCAACACAGGATTCTTCGAAAGTTTGATTGCAGAACTATTGTCACAATAAATTATAGTTGGATTCTTCTGAGCACAGCACAATTCTTCAAGCAACCTTCTTAACCATACACCTTGGCAAGCACATGCTGTAGCTGCAATGAATTCTGCTTCGGTTGTTGAAAGTGTCACCACCGGTTGCTTCTTTGAAGACCAAGACACAGCTCCTGAGCTAAGCATAAAAACATAACCAGTAGTACTCTTTCGATCATCTAAATCTCCTGCATAATCACTGTCACTAAATGCAATCAACTCCCCAGCTTTTCCCTTCTTGTAAAACAAACCAAAATTAGTTGTTCCTTTAACATAGCGAAGCACTCTCTTTGCAGCTTGAAGATCTGAAACTGTTGGTGACTCCATGTACCTACTAATGAAGCTGACTACATACATCAAGTCAGGTCGAGTGGCTGTTAGATAGATGAGACTACCGACAATCTGTTTGTAGAGAGTAGCATCCACCTTATTTTCACCTGAATTATTCACTAACTTCACCCCAGGAACAATTGGATTCTGAACCGGATTGCAATCCTCCATTTGAAACCTCTCAAGAACTTCAGATGCATACTTTTTCTGTCTAATAAAAATCCCTTTGGTTGTCTGCATAACTTCTATTCCAAGAAAATATCTCATCCTTCCCAAGTCAGTCATATCAAACTCCTCCATCATAGATTTTTTAAACTTTGCAAACATGTGCTCATTATTATGTATATACCTTGTTTAATCTGTACCAATTTTGCATAGCCTGCATAAGCAGCAAAGAGAGACAGCAATATGAAGGCAGCTGCTGCCAAAACCACTGCTATGATGATTCCTCTACTTACTGACAACCCTGAAAAAGAAAATATGCAAATCAGATTTTGAGTTATAAAATATATTTTAAAAAAAGACAGCTTTGGTAATAAAATAACACTTTCACTTCACAAAGTCAAACTTTTTATATTCTGTTTGGTCACCCAGAAAAGCGAAAATAGAGAAATGCATAATACATAATACACAACACATAACAAGTTGGCCAACGGGTATAGACCAGTGAAAAAAAGGCTTTGACTTGTAGACAAAAGGTCTCATCAGGTTTGAATCCAAATAAATACACTTTAGTTTTGTGTGTGTGTGAGAAATCCCCCTCCACTTTAGTGATTATCGCTTGTTAAAAAAAAATTGTAACAAGTTGGGTCCGATAGATAAAAAAGTTTTGGAAGTTTGGGTTTGAATTTGGACTAGATTGTAAGTAAATTCAGACTGAGTCCAAGAGGAGAGAGGAGATGCATAAGATGAGCGAGCTGCAGCAACGCGTGACTTCGAGCTGAAATGAAATCTGAAAAGTCGATACTGTCCTTATTCTTCTTTATAAACTAGCAAGGCAGAAACGACATTGTCCACTTTATATATTCGCGAATTGACCCCGGATCCTTTTGTCTTATCTGCAAGTATTGTTATTTGTTATTTGTCATTTGGTCCTTTTGCAGTTCAGGACAATATTTGGCACTTCAAATGTGTCAACACGCTCTAAGCGCTGGGCGGTCCTTTTTTTTTTATATATATTATTATTATTATTATTTTTTTTTT